ACTGGAGGAGGGGAAGGGGATTTGTTAGAGCAGCCTTGTGGTATTTTGCCAGCCGGAGTTAAACCACAAAAGGTGGGAAGCCCTCAGTTTTAAGGTTGTTTCTGGTTTTGCCCTAGGCTTGCCTGTTGCTGTCCCTGGAAAGCATTTACCCTCCAGCACACCAGCTCTCCCTGGACATGTTAAAAGTAAGCATTTCAGACTACAGTTAATTCCGTGTCCCGTGGGGGTTCAACTTGTCAAACCCCTTACCCCACCCAGTGTCAAGGGAGTAGCTAGCAGCTCCATCACGTGCCAGGGGCATAGTCTCACAGCTGTGATTGGCTTCACAGAGACTTTCCACAGCAAACGATGAAATCGTGGAAGTTCTGTTATCCAAACACCAAGTTCTGGCTGCCTTGAGATTCATCAGGGGCATCGGAGGACACGACAGCATCTCAGCCCGCAAGTTCCTGGACGCGGCGAAGCAAGCGGAAGACGACATGCTTTTCTACACCATATTCAGATTCTTTGAACAGAGAAACCAGCGGTTACGGGGAAACCCCAGTTTCACACCAGGTGAGCAGCCAGACCAGGACACTCACTTCTGCTTGCAGAACTAACACTTGTTTCACTTCCACTCCAGCTGAGGCTGTACTATGAGATAAAATGCTGTGTTTTTACTATGAGATAAAATGCTGTGTTTTACACATACCTTTAAGCGTAGTTTCAACATGTCTCACCCCTTCCGAGCAGAGACTGAGCAGCTCCCCAGGACCAGAGACTGAGCCAAGCGGGAGCGTGCAGGTGCTCAGTTGCAGCGCAGTGCTGTTCTCTCCAATTGGCCCTTCCTCCTGGAGCCTTTTACTTCAGTTGGCTGTTTCCACAGATTCCAAAAATTCAAGGCCTGTTTGGTTTCTAAAACAGGAGCTGCAGTACCAAACTAAGCTGCTTGCACAGGCACCGGGTTCTTAGTCACTAGCTAGTCCATAGGCACAGAATCCCATAATGAACTCATGGATACAAATCTGCTGGCTAGTTACAGGAACTAGATCCGACATGTGCTTTGCCACAAGAATAGCTGTGGCAGGACTGGAGCTGCCTCCGTATTCTGCTGCACGAAGTGTGTTCAAACTCCTTTACTCAAAGGCGTTAGGGATGAGAATTAGTACTCAAACCAGTGTCTTACTTCTCAGTCTGGGCTTGAACGTTACCTTTCATTCCCTCCCTCAGGTGAGCACTGTGAAGAACACGTCACCTTCTTCAAACAAGTTTTTGGAGAACAAGCTCTCATGAAGCCCACAACGTTCTGAAAGACTCTTCCACTGAAATGTATAAACTTAATTTATTGCATTTAAGTAGATTTTTGAACTACAAAATTGCTATTTTATAATAAAGTATATACAAGACATTTTGGCAAATAGTACTAAAAATATTACAACTCGTGATGGCTTCCCCCTAAAAATAGAGACAAAAATTGCATTGACCTGCATTTTAAAAAAAAAAGTGTCAGTGGTTGAGCAGCCCATTCGGTACACATCACCGCAGTTTCTTGGAGAAAAGAGCTATTCAACTCGCAGTACAGCTGGTTCAGGTTCCTCTCGAAAACAGAAGTGTTTTAGTAACGATGTTAACACACCTAGTTTTAGTAATACTGTTACACGAGCCACACGTAGCGTTTCCTGAGTTTAAAGCTATGTCCAGAGCTGCAGCTGGTGTCTTCCAGTTGGGTCTGCGCAGGAGTCAAGCCCGTGGTGGTCACAGCCGGACAGTTGTGGAACATCACTGCGTTTCAGTCCTTAAGAGGACATGGGCCAAAGCCACAGTTCACCAAGTCCACTGAACACTCAAACTAGAAGTAGAGGAGCCTCTCCCGTTCTGTACCCCTGGTCCTCTCCTGTGCAGCCTGAGTTTTAGCTTTATTTACCGATGGGCCTGAGCAAGAGAAAACGGAGACATTATTCCAGAGCTTCCGTCAGTCACCAAGAAGCACGCAGGATCTTTGCTGTCTTGGTCCAGCTTAACACCGAGACAGCAGACAGATGCTTCCGCTCGGCTGTTCGTAGCCGCCAGCAGCAGGAAGGCAGCAGGGCAATCCCCAGTCGTAGCCCCCTTGGGTAAAGCGAAGTCTGGACCCTGCACCCTAGGCACAAACTTCCAGACTCAGGAGGATGGTGTTTGGACCATCCTTACTGCCAAGCAAGACTGCTTCCACGAATGCGGCAACCGTCTCACAGCAGGTTGGTCGTTTCATAGAATCACAGAATGGGTTGGGTTGGGAGGGACCCTAAAGACCATCTAGTTCCAACCCCCCTGCCATGGGCAGGGACACTTTCCACTAGACCAGGTTGCTCAAAGCCTCATCCAGTCACCATCCTGTCCCGGGATGAGAGCCATCAGTCATGCTGCTCTCTGCTGGGCCACACAGGCCATGGCGGTCACCTCCACAACGTGAGCTTGCACCACCACCCATCAGCCCTTGCTTTTCCACAGACAGAGACTGCTTTCGATCCCTGCAACCCTTCCTGCTCGGTGGAGAGAAGTCTCCACAGCCAGCAAGCTGGTTTTGTTCAAAGTGCATTTCAGAGCAGACCGTCACATCTTACCTATGTAACTAAGCAGAACTGGAAGAAAGATGAGTCCGTGTGTTGCTCCCAGCAGGACCATGGCTAGGTACATCCTGAAGTAGAATATCTTGAAGATTTGAGATTTGGAAAAAGCCAGTACTACAATTCCTCCAAATTTGGTCAGTGTGATACCACTGAAAACCTGTCAGGAAAAGAGTGGGAAGTAAGGCTTCGTGTAATCCATCAGCATTAATTATTTAACATTTGCTAGACTCCATGTGGAATCTGAGGCTCCTACATGCAGTAGGCCTTCCTCACCTGTTGGTCCTTAGAACCAAATCCCAGACCTACTCAGGACAAGAGTTCAACTTCTCAATCCCTCAAGAACCTGACACCACAGGCCAGGCTCAGGGTGATTAAAACCCCACCCTAATCTGTACAGCCACCTAAACTGAGTTCACTTCAGGCAGATACAGATGAAAGCCATCGCTGGCATGTGAGTTATTTCAGTGAAGTTCCTTACCAAGGCCCCGTACATCCATCATCAGATCACAGAATAACAGAATGGTTTGG